TCTAGATTGAGACCAAGGACTACATAAATCATTATATTTGGAACATATAACCATAAAGGGACCTCAAGGATCCATAAAGTTGCCAACTTTATGGAATCCATCCATTCAACCACCTTGAATCATGAATAACAAGCTTATAAACATAGATCTAGAAGAATATCACATAAAAGAAGAAACGCAGGGACTTACAAAAGTCCAGAAGGTGTGCAAGAAGGTGGTGAGGAGGTTTGCTTGTTGGATCTTAGCTCAAAATTCTCTTTCTTGAAGTTGCAATCAAAGGCTTAATACTTCAAGAACACCACAACCACTCCAAGAACACTCAAATGGATCTAGGCTTTTTGAGATAAGAGGGTGGAGGCTGAAGATAATGACCTAACCCTAAATTTAAAGTCCTTAAATATAGAGAAAACCATAAAAATCGTGGGCTTGGGTTGCATCAACTACCACGTCGTGACCTTCCTCATGCCACATCGTGGTCCTCCATACTCCACGTCATGGCACCAGGCTTTTCCCAAAAACCTTACCTTGATCCCTCCAAGTCCTCAACTGATCTATTTTGGAAACGGGTATTACATTCCATCATTGGTTTAGGTTTTATTCTTACACAATGAGATAAACGTTGTGTTCGAAATGCAAATTTTGGGAGTTTTTTTCTTTTAAGAAAAAACTCAAAAGCAACTTTATTCGACATTAGGAGCTTTTATCTTTTGTTTTAAATACAAAAAAATTTGAATCCAAAAACTACTTGAAGCAACTTTTCGAAGCTTTTAGATTTTGGTTTTTATCCAATTTTAAACCATTAAAAGATAACAACTAATTTTTTCAAACATTTCTACAAAAATAGAAGTTATAATTTCTAGCTTCCAACTACCGACTACTAGTTACCAGCTTTCAAGTTTCAACTATCGGCAACTTCTAGCTCCAGATAGCAGCTAGTTTTGTCAAATATGTCCAAAGTCATTACTTATATGTGTCAACAGCTTAAGACTCATGAATTACATTATCTCATACACACATTTTGGAATTGGTGATAGTGATTAGAGTATTAAATATTTGGAGGTACCATCTTTATAGAACAATATGTAAAGTTTACACAAATCACAAGACTTTACAATATATTTTTAACCAAAAGGATTTAAATGTGTGAAAAAAAGAGACATCTCTTTTTGTTTTTGGCCGCAGACTTCCGGCTTCCGTGGCCAAAACCAGAATGGTGGATGTTGCTTCAACGATTATTGGGGAAAAAAAATGTTTTGTCATCCGAAAAATTAAAGCAAAATTCTAAAGAAAACAAGAAAATTTGAATTGGGAAGCCTAAATGAAGGAATTTGGACCCAAGTTTACCCTAGTGTCATCAAGATAATTTTTTTTTAAAGTTGATTACTTTTCCCGTATTTGTCATTCTTCCATTGATTTATGTGAAATCTCCAGAAAAAATCCTAAAATTTTAGTCCAATTTATGATAAAGTCCCAAACTAAATTTTGTTTACAGAAAAGCACAGAATACCGGTTAAAACTTCGAAAAAACCCTTTTCGGCCGGTTTCGCAGGTATTCTGTCTTTTTACGTTAGTTTTCTTAAAATTTTGGGACTTTTCCGGAAACTACCTGATAACCAAAAATATTAGGACTTTTCTGAAAATTACCATGGAATTAATGGATATTATTATTAACAAATCATTTATAAACATAACAAACATTTTTTATTATAAACAAAGGAAATGCATTTGTTTCTAATTTCTAGGAATAGAATGGTCGACTAGGTTTATTGTTTGTTGAACACTTCAAACTGCTTATGTTCCTGCTATGTATCGTTGTAGGTGTCATAGTGAGATGTATGATGTACGTTTCTTCAATTAAATACAAGAGTTGATAATATTTATTAATACACAATCAATAAGTGTCTACTTTCTATTAGGTGTGACGCTATGTTATTAGAAAATATCATTACATTATGATTCTTGAACATATAGATCTTTCATTATGTTCTTTAACCTAAATACCACCTAACCTCCGTACATTATTCGGTAACAACCATCAAATTACACACATAGTGAAAAATAAAATTTAAATGGCAATTTAAATAGATAATCACCCTACACTTGTTTCCATATAAACTATCATTCACAATTCACTTTTACACATTTGATAGATGTGTGTTAGCCTATGGTTGTTACCGTGTGAGGTATGGATGTTGGGTGGTAGTTAGGTTAAACAACATAAGAGGAACACCAACATTAGAGGAACACTCACTGAGTACATCTCACCATCATACCCACAACGATGCATAGGAGGAACGTAGAGAGTTTGATGTGGTCAATAAGCAATAGATGAGTACTTAGACCACCAATTTATTCCTAGAAATTTGCAACAAGTGTATTTCCTTTTTAATAATAACAGTATTTGTTATGTTTATAAATGATTTGTTAATAATAATATCCATTAATTCCATAGTAATTTTCAGAAAAGTCCTAATATTTTGGTTATAGGGTAATTTTCAAAAAAGTCATAATATTTTGAGCAAACTAACGAAAAAGGACAGAATACCGGCTAAATCTACGAAACCGGCCAAAAAGGGTTTTCTCGAAGTTTTAGCTGGTATTTTGTGATTTTCTATAAACAAAATTTAGTTTGAGACTTTTTCATAAATTGAACTAAAATCTTAGGACTTTTCTAGAGATTTCCCTTGATTTATTCATTTGTCAGCCAACTGTCAACAACAATTAGTACATTCATACATAATTAAAATCTTTCTATCAAACATTTATATCTATATATCTTATAATAGAAGCATTTTTCCAAGCACCACATTGATTTGAAACTCCTTTGTTTTTTCATATTCTCAAATGACTATATTTCTAAGCACCACATTGATTTGAAACTCCTTTGTCTTTTCATGTTCTCAAATGACTTTTCAAATGTCTTCTAAGTAATTGATTTAGCATTATACATCAAACATGCTATATAAACTCTTACATGTAAGAAGGATGTCATAAGAAAATGAAAAGAAAAAATTTCAATAGACATAATCTTTTAGAACATATTAGCAGTGATGAAGTCCCTAAAAGAGCTCTACAAGTCAGGGTTGTGGATGAATGTATCATTTTTTACTCATAGTTTGATCGTGTTATATTATTTTTCTAGTAGTGATGTGTAAATCGAGTTGTGGTTTGCAATTTTCGAAGTTACATGTGAGAACATCATCATTAGCCTATTTGTTTTTATCTCTTCGTTTTTGTTATGAATATTTCAATATGTTTTGTTTTTTCTTAGATTTTTGTTTCCTTTTATATTTACATTTGTACATGTATAAAAGGTTGTTTGAACCACATATTGTAATTGGTTAAAGAAATCTATGTTAAGTATATTGATATGTTCCATAATTTGTATCATAAAAGCTTAATTTCAAGTCCATCCTTATAGCAAGTTGTACAAATCTTATATGAAGTGACCTAAAATGAGAAGTTTACAATCTTAACAAAGTTTCTTTCAGAATTAGTTTAATGTTATTAATAATTTTTAATTGTATGCATTAAAAGGAAGCAAACATGTCATAATGAGTTTTTATATCAACTTCGTATAAATATAATTATTTCAAAATTAATAGTAGCGATATGATTATTTTAATAGTGTGTATGTATGTGTCTGTGTGTGTGTGTTTGTCTATATATATATATATATATATATATATATATATATATATAATTCTATTCTGCACAACGCGGGAAATTAACTTAAATCAAATTCATTTGAAATTTTCACAACAACAAAAGAGTTTTTCTAATTTGTGTTTACTTATGATTTTAAATATAAAGTTATTAATCACTACAACTCAAAAGTTTTTATAACTTATGGTTAGTAATTGGTAGTGACTTTTTATTTTCCTCTCATTTATATACATTGTATCCGTATTAGTAATATATAAATAAGTTTTCTCACAAAAAATCACGTGTTTTAAGATACTTTTAATTAAAATATGAAGAGTTGAAAAAAAAGTGTTTTGCCACATCATGGTTATTAATATGCGGATTTTTCTTGGAACAGTAAGTATTGTTTCATAATTAGTTTAATGTTATTAATATTTTTTTGTTGTATGTCTTAGAGGCATCAAACATGCTATAATGAGTTTTTATATCAACTTCGTATAAATATAATTATTTCAAAGTTAATAATAGCGATATGATAATTTTAATAGCGTGTATGTATGTATGTGTGTGCGCGCGTGTGTGTGTGTGTGTGTGTATATATATATATATATTATTATATATATATATATATATATATATATAATATGTGTCTTCTATATATTTTTTGTATGATTACCGGTGTTTAATAAGGTCCTTTTTGTTACAAATGTTATAGTAGACATTATAGTGATTTTATGTTATTAAAAGTTGTAGTATTTATGTTTTTCATATATTTGTTATTCATTAAATACATAAATTAACATACAATTTACAAACCTTAAAATGGTCAATAAAATCATGAAATATTTATTTTTTATACTATTTGTTATTCGTTATATATAGAAATAAATATATGTTTTATATACATTTATTAACATTATATTTTCATTTATAAATATTAAATCATAGTTTATAGAATTAAGAGAAAGATTAAATAATTGTATGGATGTGTGTGTTTGCCGCTAAAAAAACTATATAAATATATTTTTGCGCAACGCGCGGGGATTCGTCTTAATACATAAATGCATACATACATACAATCTTTATGTCAAACATCAATGCATACATGTAAACATGCATACAATCTTTCTATCAAGCATTAAAACATACTTGCACACATACATATATTTATATAGATAAACGACATACATGACATAAGGTAATTAAGGCATAATATCTATTAGAAACACCTAAGATTTTCAAATGAACACAATAACTTCTTCCACAATACTCTCATTCAAAACCAAACCAAAAATACAAGAAACAACACCTTCCAAACCCTACCACAAAAAAACCAACAACTTCTTCCACAAACCCTAATCATCACCATAAGCCCTAAAACTATATCGTTCTTGATAATACCCATTAAACCAAAGATCAGCCTCGAACCATTTAGGATACCTAACCAAATCACCAGCAACAAAACTCATGTGTCTCTCACTACCTTCTGGAACAACCCTCACTTCTCCTTCCTCAATGTAAACCAGTTGGTCAACATGCCAATCCCATGGAACATTGCATTTACCTGTCTTCCATGTTGACCATTTTGACACCCCAAGCTCTGATAATCGCTCTTTTGACACGTTCTTTTCTACCCTTATGCTGTATATCTCCTCCAATGGTCTCTGCATTGATATGATCATCCCACCACCATGGGTAGAAGAATGGGAAGTTTTGAACTCTGGTTTGGTTCTTTTTGAGGATGAGATCAATGGGGGAGAGATGATTAGACTTGCCATTTGTTAACAACCTGCATAAATTGTGAAACTACTATGAGCTTCTTATCTATTTTAAACAAATTTAGGGCCTTGAAAGCATAAATCCAATTCATAGGGGAAAAGGCTTCAAGGGTTGAATAGTTGAACTCAATTTGGCAGAAGATACTGAATTTCGTGATAACATCAAATACAGATTCATGGTAAACCCGACTGAAATGTCAAGTACGGTGTTGTAATTAGCAATAACCATCAAAAGTATTCAATCTGTTTCGCAAACTTGATTCGAATTTAGAGATTCTGGAACAAGAATCAGACTAAACTGTTGTAGAAAGTGCTACGGATACAACGATTACGGTGTTATCCGTGTCAAATTTTCTTCCATTTGAAGTGTGCTAGGTTTAAAAGATTTTAAAAGAATCAAAGTGCAATTGTTCTCCGAAAGCCCTAAACGATACTTGTTCGTAATAAAGCCTAAATAGAAAGGGGAAATTGATACGAGAAATGAGAGCGTACCGAACCTTGCTCTGAAAAAATGGCGACTTTGTTCGACCTTGTTGTCCGGTTTTCTCGAAAGGGAAGAAGATAAAGAAGATAAAATATAGTATATTTATTGAATGGTCCTTGAAGTTTTACTTTACTTTAGTTTAGTCCGTTTTAAGGTTCTTTCTAAATCAAGATAGTTAAGTTTCATAATGATATCCCAATGGTACAATATTTCATTTATAATAATAATAAATAATTATAAAACAAATAAATAATTAAATGAAAGTTGAGTAATCTAACAATAATGCAATGTATATTTAAAGAAAATAACAAAAAAATGTTTTTGGCAAAATAACCCTAATGTTCGAAATAGAGAATTTTGGACCGACAAAAAATACATTTCAGAGTGACATTTCGGGTTTAAAAAAAATGTTGAATTTTCAAGAACAAATCTGAAATTCGATAGTAAATAGAAAATATCGAAATTAAAAAATTATATATTTTTTAATAAAATCTAACAAAAAGTTAAATAAACATAGTAAATAGACAATATATATGATACTATGACTTAAAATCTGTAACGTCCGCAAGTTCGAACTAGACATTTAAAATATAAAATATAAAAAGTATTTATGATTAAAATCCTCGAATAGGATACGCGTTACGGACCATAAATAACATTTTAATTAGAATATTATTTAGGATAAATAGTCTTAAATAAATATGTAGTAGTCGTAATGACAATTTTGTGGATATAAGGAGCGCTTAAATCTGACTTTGTATGAAAAAGTTATGCTTCTTCGAAGTTTTGCAATCAACCCGACACAACTATGTGTGTCATAAAAAGTGAATTAGAGATCAGTTGCTTGTTAGCCCGAGTAATCTAAACGAAAGTCGTAGTAATCATAAAAGCGAAAACGTACATATAAATAACGTCTAAATCTGACTTCGTATGAGAAAGTTATGATTTTTAGAATTTTCAGTACATCAATGTGCGCATAAAAATCGAAACTAAAATCGGTTGATTATTAGTCAAAACAATCTAAATGAGAGTTGAAGATTTCGTGAATACGAATCCGTTGATATAAAAACAATTGAGAACGAAGTTCGTTTGAAGGATTTATGATTTTCGCATGAACTTTAACAATGTAATCTTTATTAAAATATGAATTTAAAATAGAGTGAGAATTATTTGTTGAGGTTTAAAGGAAAACTGTAGTACTCGAAAATATACATATGGATATAAAGAATATCAAAAAATGAGCCCGTATACGAAAGTTATGGTCTTTCAAAGATTTCAGAAAAACACCTGGCCTAATGACATGGCGCGCCACGTGGCCTTGTCAGGTAGCCAACTCCTCCAGCCGACCGAGTGACATGGCTCCATGAATTTTTAACACGTGGTGATCGGTGAACGGCTTACGACGTGGACCATGAAAATAACGACACGTGGCACCGTACAAAACCAATAAACCTCTATATATAGGACTTGAATTTCATCCATTTGCTCACCCTTTCATACATCCATTTGGATTCAAGTTGACCTTCCCAACTCATTTATGCCCCCAAACCCTTTTACTTAATTTTCACTTAAATAAAATAATAAATAATGAAACAGACATATTTATAAATATTTAATTGATTCTAAAACTAAAAAGTTGTGTAGTTCTGCCTGCCTTGCCTCTTCCAATCTTCTTGGCCCTCGCATGGCCGCCACTTTTGAAGATACCAACCAAACACGACACCCATCCAACACATTTTGCCTTTCGTGTTCTATTTAGGTAGGGGTGAGCGCGGTGTGGTTCGGTGCGGTTATTAGCCAAAACCTCACCACTAACCGCAAATGCGGTTAATCCATTTTCAAAACCGTATGGTGCGGTTGTTTTTGCGGTGCGGTTAGGCGGTTATTTTTGCGGTGCGGTTTTGTTTTTTCTGTGTTGCGGTTATTAACCGCATGGATTTGGTGCAGTTATTTTGTGTGGTTTTTAACCACAGTTTAGAGTTCAAATAGTTTTAAGAGTTCAAACATATTACTTGTAATAATAAAAAATCCATAAGGTATATGACAATTAACTATTTAACTTAAACCACAAACAACTAATATCTTAAAAACGTCAAATCAATAATGATTAACAATAAATATCTTAAAATTGTCTAATTTCATCAATTTTCAAAGTTAAACATAAGAAAAAACCAACACTTTTGTCTTGTATTATTTTATCCGTTTTTCATTCATGAAACTTATCTTATTTTTAATATTTAATAAACTAATAATTGATAATAAAAAAATTGTATATAATATATGCGGTGTGGTGCGGTTTTTTTGCGGTTTTTGAAAACTAATAACCGCACCGCAGCGCAAATTTGCGGTTTTTGAAAAACAGAGAACCTCACCATCGGTTTTTATTGCGGTTGCGGTTTATGCTGTTTTGCGGTTAATTTTAGTTGCGGTGCGGTTTTTGCTCACCCCTATTTTAGGTATGGATATAATATATATATATATATATATATATATATATATAGACATATATATATATATATATATCTATATGCTATATATATGGTTAGGTTTATTTGTTTGTTACATTTATTATGTGGTAGAATGCACCAATAGAAATTCAGTAAATTAAATAATTATTTAATTAAATAAATATAGATATTAAATGATATTCATAATTATAATTCTCTTATATGGAAACTAATTAAATCTGTCATTAATGTCAGCAATAACATTCTTTCAGAATGAATTCGCATCTAGGTTTTTATATATGAGTTCGTATTTTGTTTCAGGAGTCACTCACTTAAAATACAATAAAGTTGCATGAAATATGAAGAACGAGAGTGTATTCTACTAGAATACACTCTCATTCTGCTGGAATACACTCTCATTCTTCTAAATATGAATTCCTTCTGAAAGAATATTATTGTTGACATTAATGACGAATTTAATTGGTTTCCATAAAAATGAGTTATAAGTATGGATAGCATTTAATATACATATAATTAATACTAAAATCATATTGATGCATTCTAGCACACAATAGATGTGAGAAACATTTGAACCTACATCTATATATATATATATTATATATATATATATATATATATATATATAGGTAAGTACTATTGAGAAAATAAAAAAGGTTTGAGAATGGGGGAATCATTCTCAGCCAATCATTTATCTAACATCTTCACCTTAAAAAAATGCGCGTGTCCATTTCATTAAGGGTATCTTTGTAAATTAGCAACGTTTTTATATAGAACTTACCTGTTCGTTGTTATCAGTTTCCAATTTATTAATATCTTTAGCTCATTTAATCGGATATGATGAATTCATTATCAAGATTTGTTTCTTTATATAACTGGTTAACAATTATACAGATTTTTTCCATTAATCGTGAAGTTTCGCATCTGTGTTTCAGTTTTCTTCTTCGTATTTAGTTTCCGATTTGATCAGGTATGTATATCGTTTGAATCGGATATATCGGAGTTCATTAGCAAGATTATTGCTTTATATAATTTGTTTTGAATTACGCGTATTATTTTCGTTTTGGAGTTGTTTAATCGGAGTTCATTATCAAGATTATCAAGTTTCGAATATGTATTTGAGTTATTTCATCGGATTTTTGTTATGTAGTTTGAAATATTTATTTCAAATCGGAGTTGATTTAATTTTCAATCGGATATATCGTTGTAGTTTTTACGCTCTGAACTGAGAGAGATTGCTTAATTACATCATCTGATCGAGCTGATTTAAGTTTATTTCATATATTTTGTACGTTGAGGTGAGATATGTTCGAAATTAACCAGGTTTTCATATTTACGACTTTTTTTGTGAGATATATTCGATATTAAGATTGTTTTTGTTTATTTATATAGATAATTTGGTTTATTATGTCGAATTCTAGTGTTATTGATGGTGATTTGTATTCTTCTATGTGTGAGAGTGAAGAAGAAGATGTTGAGAACTCATTTTTTGAAGGTATTAGTTATTGAATTATTTTGTTTTTTTTAATTTTGTTGATTATCATTTATTGACATACGAATATGTTAATATGAATAAATTGTTGTCTTATTCATATATGAATAAACGTGTGATAATTGTATTTTCGTTTTATTCATATATGAATAAGTTATGTTTATTTTATATATTTTGAATCCTCATGAATTTTATGTATTCATATATGAATGTTTTATTAATCCATTAATAAACATTGTTTTTTGTTTTATTCATATGAATTTCATGTATTCATATATGATTGTTTTATTCATGCATTATTATTATGATTTAGATTTAATTTTTTTTAGGTGGTGAATCTTCGAGTTCAGTACATGATGCGCAATATTGTGGTGATATAATGATTGGAGAACATGTCTATAAGCCAGATGTACCTGTTCAACTTATTCCATTTAAAGGTTTAATCTTCAAATCATTAAAGTTGGCCATCAAAATGTATTCTGAGTATGCTGAAATTGGTGGTTTTGATGTGAGACTGAGCACGTGTCAATGTTTGATAACAAGATTATAAAGAAGAAAC